GCAGCCTATTTCAATTGCCTCAAAATAGCAATGCACCAATAAGACTTATTAATGAATTACTGCACTGTGTGAATTCACCTTAGACCACTTGATTTATCCCCACATTGTCTAAGAATTGCATTTGCTTGTTCTCTACGAACAGCAATTTGCAGACAATTTCATATGCACAGAGCAATTTTAGCGGCGGGCATGATACTCTTGTGCAATTTTCTGTCAGACAGGATCAGATATTTAAGGGAAAAGAACTCGCAGGACTCTCTGAACTCAACAGGTCCAGGAATACAGAAAGTGCAGAGTAAGACTGACTGGCTGAACGGCAAGTTTAGATGTAAAACCACTCTTAGAGCAACCTAAAGATTATGAAGAGTTCAATTCAGCTACACAACCCGCAGTGTTGTAGTACTCGAGACTCGGACTCGTCTCGGACTCGGTCTCGGTCTCGAGACCATATTTTAATGGTCTTGGTCTTGTCATGGACTCGTGTCCATTTGGACTCGGAATTGACTCGTACTCGAACATTTTTTTTTTTAGGACTCGGAATTATTCCCGAGTACCTAAATTAGGTAATTAACCCTCACTGGTCTCGGTCTCGACTCGGACTCGACCGTCTCTGGTCTCGGACTCGACTCTCTATGGACTCGGTCTTGACTCGGACTCGACTCTCTCTGGTCTCGGTGTCGACTCGGACTCGAGTGAGGTGGTCTCGACTACAACACTGACAACCGGAGACAAAAGAGCAGATATGAAAAATCTCTCCAGTCAGCCGGGATAACCTTGCATTGTAAGAGTCTATAACTAAAAGCACAAGTACTTAACCAAAGGGGTTGACCGTTCATCTTTATCTTATCCGTTTCCTCAGCATGTGTTTTATATTTGTTTATGTGTGTGTGTGGTTTCTAAGAGGATTATCTTCATGCCCCACTGAGGGTTACACACCATCTGGATGGGAGATGACCCTGAGTGGGGAGGGGCCACGTCTGGAGGCGTTGAGACGTTGATGGTGTGTGTGTGTGTGTCTCTAATCCAATACTCCTGTCCAGTAATGTTACAATTCGATGGAAACATACCGAATGTAGCTCCCCCCTGCATCTGAACTGAGCAGTCAATGGACTTTTCCATTCAGGGAGATGGGAAGACACTATACAGGATCATTTAGCCTGGCTGTCCCCGCATGCCTGTCTCCTTCTTGCTCTATTCATGTCCACATGTTTGGATGCTGCTCTGTCGCAGCTGTACACCTGCTTAATTAATATCTGATCACTCCCAGTTCCAATAGAGGGGGAGCTGTCCAAATGAATCACTACGAACAACTGCTTCCTTAATGCTATCTATCGCACTGATTATCAGCGGAGACTTGCACGGTTAGCTCGGAGATTGCTTAAAGGGACAGTTCACCCAAAAATTACCCCATGATTTTCTCACCCTCAAGGCAGAGTACGTCTAAAGAGTAACCCTTATCGATGTAAGGCGTATGATGTACTGTAGGTCGGAGAAGCGTAAGCTTTGACGACTCTTTCGGTTCAAACAAACAGCGCTGGGCAACAAACTCAAGCTTCTCAGACATATAGCTCAAAAAACAAGATCTCAGACATATCGTTTTGTTTTGCTCTATCCTCTGAGCTTCCGCGTTCGCCGATGCATCATGTTAGATGATACTCTTTTGCCGTAAAACGATCGAAAATCTTTAGTCGAAAATCTAAATATAAATGCATCGCTTCGGTTCAGAAGGCCTCTCCCTCCCTCATTTTTATAACTCTGATTGTATTTGTCTGAAAGAAGAATTTCATATACAGGATGGATTGAGCGTGAGTAAATTATGAGGATATTTTCATTTTTGGGTGAACTGTCCCTTTAAGGCAAACAAACAAAAAAGTTTGAACATGGAAATTATCATCCAAGAAAGTTCATTGGAAGTTCTGTAGAATATTCCTATCAGGCATTATGTTGTGATGAGGTAATTAAAATGACCTCATTCATAATGATTTCTGAAAGTCAACATATTAACATATTTCCCATATGATCACAAGAAAGCGTATAAAGTCCAAAAAAGGGGGTTTGTAATCCGAGCTCTCGCCTTTCATAATTTTCATTTGAATGTTTGTATTTGCTCTAAGCGATCTCTGAGTTTACTAACAAAGTCTCTGGTGATAAAATTGGAGGGATTCACTGGGATAGCTGAGCCTCTGAAGGAACTCCCAGTGATCAGACTGGTGATTAATTGAGCAGGTTCTGAAATCCATGTGATCACATACAGTATAAGCAATAATACATAAATTTACATTAATTTTTATTTATAATTGATTATTACTATTATTATTAATAATAATATCTCAAACAGATACATTTAAAGAAAAAAATCTTTTTTAAGGGAAAATAAGGCAAAAATTTTCATTAAGAATAAGTTTTTTTTTATTTATTTATTTTTTTTTTTTTTATGCAGAGTGCAACATTATGGCTCTTAGAAGGCAGCAACAACCAAAAACAAGTTTGATACTGTATAATGTGCACTAAGTATACGGCTGCATCAGTTTTTTAAGATCAAAAAGCAAATGAAATACAGATAATGGTCAAGAGAGGATTGTGGATGACAGTGATGGGGCAATATATTGTGCTATTTTCCCTCTATCCCACCCTGAAGAACACAACATTGAAAACTTCTATGATGTCATCTTTTTTTTTTTTTCTGAAAATACTGGACAAAAACTGAACAAGGTTACAAGAAGAGGAAAAAGACATCTTATTATACTTTCTGAAAAACACGCATCATAAAATTTACAAAACGTCAAAACCTCACTTTTTTTCTGACTGACCATGAAGATGTTTTAGCTCATAAAAGAGTCTTGAAGGTATACTTTAAGAGAACCATTATTCCATGTTGCATTCATGAAGTAGTTATTTGAGATGCAGGAGAAATGTGAACTGAAAAGTTAACCTTTCTCATGAGTGATGGCCGTCAAGGCAAACAGCTCATCTTCATGACAAACCCCTATCCTTAAAGGTTACATATCACCATCTATATTTGCCTGTCACTTTATGAGGGTAAGAGTTGAAGCAGAGTGTAAAAGACTCCAGCCTGGATTCAATCATTCAGCCATCAAACCAACAACCCATGCAAAGAAGTCCTGGTTTGCAGCATTGCACCAAATTTCACCAAAATATTATGCTTTTAATATTATGTAATCAAAGAAAGGATTAGATTAATGTGGAACACAACCTTGTTTTTCACAATGTACATTTAAAAAAAAAAAAAAAAAAAATGGGATGTCCAAAACTGACTAAAAATTAACATACCAAAATTGCTGAAGACAACTAACATAAATAAATCAATCCCAATTTTATGGAAATATGACATTTGCCTACTTCACCTTTGACTCTGTAACAATACAGACACACACAGATGGTGAAAGACACAGGGACATTGATGGCCAACCCGGAGAATAGCGTGCGGTGATCGGCCAGAATAAGACAATGGATTCATTAACCGTGACAGACTCTTAACTTCACTGCAACATCCACTTGCTCTGGTTAGAACAGCAACGGTCAGGAGCGGACTGGGACATAAATGGCCACATATATGAGGTAGTCAGTGGGGTCCGGGGGCGTGCTCCCCTGAGAAAATTTTGGATTTCTCTGACCTATATGTGCAATTTAGGTCTTTTGAAGGCCCCAAAATTTGTTAAGAAATAGCTTTAAAACCTTGTCATTAGATTATTTGTCAATACCTGCTCTCTCCTCATCTTCATCTTTCTTTCTTTCCTTGTCCCCTTATCCTGCCCGATTTTTTTCCCCCTCCCAAAGCTGAACTTTGACTGATAGTCTTTTTTATTTTTGTCTGTTTCAGGGAAGAAAGTAAACATAGGCTTAACTGATATTTATGTTTTTTTTTTTTTTTTTTTATTATTTTCTTAGACAAGTTAATTTACTCAAGGCTACCGCCTAAGTCAGCATTGCCAACCTTCTACAAGCTTTGGAATTTGAAAACATCCGTTTTTAAATACTTAAGTAGTTTTAAATACTACAAATTATATTCCACGAAGTCAGAACCATCCGGAAGCGTGATTGTGTCACACGCCTGTCCTGTCTTGTGCTGCACATGTGTTTTGTTATTTTGGGCCATGTGCTCTTGTCATTGTCAGCCCTTGTTACCTGATTATTGTTTGAGTTCTTCCACCTGTCCTCTCTTGATTAGTCCCCTAACTGCTGAGTCCTCATTTGGTCAGATCGTTATGTCACAGCACGTGCAAGGCAAAAAAGGTGTGAGGACTCAAATGCAGGAGAATGGTAGTTTATTACAAAAATAATAACACAAAGCATAAACCCACAGGGCTAAAAGTAAAAAAAAAAAAAAAAAAAAAAAAAAAAAAGTACAAATAAAACAATAACAGAACCTGAATGTGCTGAGTATCACGGGGAACAGGAAACATTTGATTTCAAAAACCGACAAAAACTGCAAACAAGAGGAGACTGGAAGGGGACTAATCATGAGGGCACAGGTGGAAGAACTCAAACAATAATCGGGTAAGGAGGGGGAGGGATCAGTCAGACAACGACAAGAACACATGGCCCAAAATAACAAAACACACATGAGCAGCACAAGACAGGACAGGGCAGGAAATGATGAAAATCATTTAATTTGATGAGAATGATTTAGTTTGATTTGAATCTATTTATTTATTAGTTTTGAAGTTTAAGAAACCTTTATTACAACTAAAAACATCTTCAAATACAGCCTCGCAACAGATACTTTCAAGTGACAATATCATCCATTCAGTAATTCAAATCAATTATATATACCATGCTTGAAAACAAGTTTATTCTGCTCTGACTAACGTTTGGTTAAAAAAAAAAAAAATGCAAGACGCCGAGAACGGGATTAGCATATTCCTGCGATGACCACACAGATCGTTGCTTCTCTGTGGGACTGACGGGAGGGAGGAGGAGGAGTGAAGGGAGGGATAGAGGGGAGGCTCCATCTCTCTAATGTAGTTGATGAAGATCCCTCACTCCTGAGACCTGACAGGGGTCGCACTCTCTTCAATCACGCGCGCCACGGACCGCAGAGCCGCGAGCCAGTCAGCAAAGCGCTCTCTCATTCCGCTCGGTCTTTTCCTCTCCGACCAGCTCACTCACCGTCACTCTCTCTCTCACACACACACACACACACACACACTCGCGCGCGCTCTGCTCATTCTAAAACCGCAGGGACGTACACTTCAGCACTCTCTCTCTCGCGCGCTTGCTCTCGCTCAACCTTATTTCTTTCCTCACTGGTGGCACGCGCATCTGTCTCCGCTTCTGCACTGTTTCCTACAGGGTGAAAAAGAACGATAGACTCAATGAGAAAGAGTAAATGAGAAAACAAGGAACTAAAACAAGGGTGAAACGAGGATTGAAAAGAGGCTGAGGACAGATGAAGGAAGAGAGTTTGTGAAGCGTTTTGGATTTTACTGGTTTCCAGCTTCAATCTATCATTTTGTCCGGAGGAAAAGGACTCAATTAAGGTAGGACATTTTCTGTGCACAAATCTCTTGAATGTGTGAGTGTGTTTTGCTGATGTGGACTTTCTTAGGGAGTGCGGCGAGCTCATAACTCTTGGTGTAAGTGTTAGGTTCCTCTCAAGCCCCTGCTAAATCACTGACCTGTCAGCATCCACAACTATGAGCGTTTATCCTCAATCGTACAGCCATGCAAACTGCAATAATTTCAGTGTTAAGAGTCCAGAAGAAAAACATGTCCATGATTAATCCCTGCACCCTTAGAACAGTTTTGCCCTCCTTTTTGGAAAGGCACGAGATTTTGACTGTGGAGGCTTAGGGGAGGTTGTTTTGCTGGCTCTTCATTCAGGTGAAAACTGGCTTGATGCTTGGAGAGATTAGAGTGGAAATTCTGATTGCAACCCACCAGTGCAAACACTCATACCTAGAGTACCTAATTATGAGTGTGAGGAAACATTTACATATGTGTGCTTCGTTTCTTACTGCCACAAAGTAGAGAAACACTAGCTCAAAAAAAAGAGCTCTGCCAACATCAAGGTCCTGCTTCAAGAGGGACTAGAAAAGACAGACAAATTACTTGCAGCTCTGGATATCTCTCGTGGCTCTACTGACAGTTTGTTCCCAGATGAAACAACAGTGCAATGAACAGTTTCAGCGTGTTGTGAATTATGAGTATGATAATCGCACTTGCTAAATCTTTGTTTCACACACATCATTGTCATACTATTAATAGAGGTATTCATGTACAAAGGACTGGTGTTTATGTACATATTAATTTAATCTCACAGAGATTATGGACTTTGTGACATGCGAGAGGGATTAGACCTCAAGCGGTTTTTGTGTTGCGGAGGCATATAAACCACACACAACCTTGCACTCTACTGTATTTCATTGTTTTTAGGAGGTAGATGTGCCATTCTGATTTGGATAAATAAATGCAAGACTTTTTTTTTTTTTTTTTTTTTTTTTGCATTATGTACAGAACAAGACAGGGAACATACAAAAACTGTAAGACACTTCCATTTAGATCAATACAGAGTATGGATTTAGAAAGAAGAAAAAAAAAAGGAGCAAGGGTCAAAACAATCACATAGTCAGTATACATGAAAGGACTTAAAATACTAAAAAAGAAATGCAAGACTTATGTGATAGCTGAAAAGGCACTTGACTTTTATAATAGCCTGGCAAGAAAAGAGGAATAATAATAATTGTTGTAATTATTATTATTATATGATTTAGCTTGGAAATATCTCAATATATATTTACCATTTAAACCTCGAAATAAGTAAAGTCTTGGGGTTTGATAATTGTAAATAATGTAAACAAATGTAGATTTGTGAAATTAGCCAAAGTGAATTAATTAATACAAAATACCAGATGTTCTTGCTTCCACTGAAGCACAAAATGGTCTTTGGATCATTTCAAATCATGCTGGAAGACATGATCATCAGGTTTTTCTCTTGTTGAGTTAATTCAGATATTTATAAAATGTTTTATTTGAAACCAATTGTTATACTAAGGAAAAAGGTTGCAAAACAGCTCTTTTAACAAGTGGTCTGACTAACATGTTTCCTTGAAGAAAACACTTCAGATACTTGCATTGCACATTGCATTAAAATGAAATAAAATAATAAAATAAACATCAAATCCATAATTCATGTCAAATTTTTGAAAGCATTATTTAGTTACTATTTACTCATTATGGCTTGTGTAACCAATACTGTAGTAGAATCACACTCTGGTGGTAAGTTTTCCCTTAGAAGAAAACATTTATATAATGTTCAGTGGTTGTTTGTACAACCGTATTGTGGCAGCTGTTATGTGTGTGTGTGTTGGGGGAGGTCTGGCATAATCCCTTCTGGATAGTAAAATTCAGAATCAGCATTCCTAGAATAAACCACAAAGTAGAAAAAAAAAAACGATGTTAAAAATAATAGGAGGTGAGCTGTGACATCCACTTAAATTCATCCAGACTCTGCCTCTAGCTGTCATAAATCAGAGGATGTTATGTGCCAGGAATAAAACACAATATCGGCCCATCTCTAACTGTATTATCCACATATTTTCATTTGATCTGTTGCGGCATTGGAATTGCAGTCCCACGTTAAAAAAAAACTCTGATCCCGTCCATCTGTTAAAGGTTGCACGGATTTGTGGGACGCTCTAGGACAAAAAAGAAAGAAAAAAAATAGAATAAAAGATGAATGCACAACAGTCAGTGGACAGAATTTAACTCACAAATGAAGCCGTAACACATCCTATCTTTTCCCTGGATCAAGCCAGCCTTTACAAAGACCGGAAACACCAGGCTTCAATCAGTGTCTGAAATCAGTAGGCAGGGACAATCCATAGACCCCTCCTGAACGTACTTTAGAAACTCTGGCAGGTCTTGGCTTTGCTTTTGTGACAGGGATCAGAGCAGAAAGTAAAAGAAGCAGAGCTCCTAGTGATCTGAGCTTCTGGTGAAAACAAAGCCGTGTCCCAACAAGAGTCCAATTCCCCAGAGCGATATAGCAGATGCACTAGCATTGGGTTTAATGAGGAATCCTCTTTTGACCAGTTGATAACACCAGAGACAGACAGCTCACAGAGAGAGAGACAATCAGCACTGATGGAGAGAGAGACAGCTCTGAGGGAGAGAGACGGCTTTGAGGGTGAGCTAAATGAGGTCTAATCAGCTCAAAGCAGATGGGAACCCTGAGACGGAGGGGATCAGGAGTGCAAGATTTGACATGTGCCCGTGTCCCTCTAATCAGAATTCAATTGGAATTGAGAGAAAATGATGACATAAAGTGGCACTGGTCCAGGGACATGAACACAAGGGTCAATAACAGCTGGAAACACTGATATATATTTGTGTGTGTGTGTGCGTATTATAGACCTAAACGTTCAGATTAACCTTGAACATGCCCCTATACCATTCCCATAAAACCATCCCCCCAGCCTATCCATCTCCATTAAATTACTAAATTTAAAACCATATCATGGACCAAAGGGTTTTACTTCCTCTTTTAAATGTATTTAATGACTTCAATGCATTATGTAGACATGCTCTGTTCCCAGTCCAACCAGACAATTCTAGGGGAAAAAAAATGCAAAAGGTCATTCAAAAAGCACATAAACATAGAGTAGAGCTGCACGATTAATCGCTAAAAGATTGCTATGCCGGTTTAAACACCCATGCGATCTTATTCCTAAATGACTACCATTCGCCTGTTTGTATTAACCCTTTTGACAAAATCATACAGGAACATTCAAATCAGTGTCCTCGCTACCGCTTTGGGATGAAAAGAGCTTGATGAAAGAGAATGATCACGAAATACTCAGATAAAATCTGATGATTTGAATATAAACACTAATGTCTACATTAACGAACACAATATAGCTTATCACCTTTTGATTACACATACACTACAAGATAACCGGGCCAATTCTCCCCATTCAATCAAGTCCCGATTATCTAGTTCTACAGAATGTAATCAGATTTTGTTGTGCTGTGATGTGCATTAAGAGTGATTGAAACTGCTTGGAAGATTGTCTAAGAACCAATGTCAAATCGAGTTAGATGTTTAGAACTATGCGGACAAACGCAAAGTACTTTATTGCCGTGTGGAACAAAACGATACCCAATCAGAAAGCGAGCTGATGGAAGACAGAAGCATAACATGACATCATCCAAACTTCTGTAAAAGCATTCCAAACACCATTATCATCATTTCTTCGTGCCCATTGTCCGCCATGTTTGTTTACACTTATGTCACGTTTGACCGCAAGAGATTTCACGAAATCTTCCAGTCGGGACTAGTTGTTTGTGAATGGAATCTGTAAGTGTTCGCCATGCTGTCTTGGTCACATCGCACACACCATATAAACAAAACTGTTCAATCTACGTCATGTTTGTGGTCTGGTCTCTCACATTTTGAAAATCTGATAAGATTTTAGAAATATTTTCCTGTGAAAAATAGCTAAAATACATGCCGTTAACTCCAAAGCTCAGAAAGGAGGAGACAAATGCCCATGAAGTATTACAATACTGTTCCTGCTGCAAGAAACCTATAACATTATAAGTGGACTTCAGAGAAAATAAAATACTGCCAAAGTGGATGATATGGCCCAGAGATATATTTCCCAACGCGTCCTTTACACTCCCTTAACACTCCAAAGCATCAAGTTCCTCATTTCAACCAGCCCAATGGCTCTTTTCATTCACACAAACCTGAGCCGCTTATCTCGAGTTCTCTCTTAAAGTGATCTCAATGCATAATGCAGCTGAATAAGCTCTCTCTTTAAAGAAAGCCAGTGCTGATGCAGTGAAAAGGCATTGAGGGAGTGAATGACTGGGCAGTGCTGTACAGAGGAGGATATCCTCTCTGGTGTGGCGCACGAAGCCGTAGGCTGCAGGGGAGATCCATGGTAATCCCGTGTACTTATTGTGTGATTGGCGAGGGCCTTCAGATATCCTGGAGACTGAATGGGTGGCAGAGAGGTGATGCTGAACCCTTCTAATGCCAAAGTCAACAAGGCCTTAGACAGTTCAAGGAATAGTTCCTCCAAAAATGACAGCTCTGTCATCATTTACTCAGCCTAATGTTTTTCCAAGCGCGTATGACTTTCTTCGGCAGAACACAAAAGAGAAAATTTGAAGCTTTTCTATGCTCCTCTCCACGTTGAATATGCACTGAAGCTTTCAAGCTTAAAAAAAAGCCTTCAAAAGAGTTCAGATTCCACACAATAGGTGACTGGAAAAGAGACATTATTCACTCAAAATATTGACGGCTAGTCAATATAGCTCACAGAAAATGTATTTTCGTTCTTCGTTTAGGGTAACATTCATAGACATATACGCTAGACCTCACCTTGGGGTTCTAAGCATGCCTCAAAAACGCCGCCATCTTGGAACAGGGGTCTTGTCATAGGAAGTAGCTAGGTAACGCTGCTATCTCTGCCTTTACTTCGAATTCATTGATGGTGGCGGACTTTTGTGCAGCGTATGATGTTCACGGATG